CATTGCTATTAGGTCGGAGGCCGTTGCTATTGGGTTGGAGGACATCGCTATTGGGTTGGAGGCCATCGCTATTAGGTTGGAGGCCATCTGCCAAGCTTGCACCAGTTTGCAAAGACTTGAGAACGGTCACAATCCACCGGGCACTTGGTCACACCGCGCAAGCGGCATTTGAGCATGTGTGTTCGGACTGTCCGTGCGTTCGTCTGTCCTTGTTTTGAATGTTTCGCACCAAGCCTGTGGGGAAGGGGTTCAGCAAAATGTAGGCAATTTGCAGACTGAGAAGTCTCTCTGCATCTGTCTCTCGGAAGGCCTCAGAAGCGTTGGGTTCGTGTCCCAGGAAGACTCTGAGCAATTCGGGGAGCGAGTCGGAGAGCAGCGCGGAAATGGGGGCCGCTTCGGAAAACGGGTCCCAAAACCGAGGCACATCCCAGGCAAGCTTGAAGGCCCAAAGAGCGTCCGCCAAGGTGGACTTTGAAGCTTCGATCACCAGAAAACCTTTGTGCCTCGGCCGCTTGGAACGGCTGAAACAAACCGCCTCCGGCTTTCTCGCTCTCATCAGGTCCATCCGCATGGTCCATTCGTTCCCAAAAATGGAGTTCTGAAGAAGCTCCTTGCAGCTTTCGTGAGTCTCCTCAATTGGACTCCTCCATCACTCACATGTTCACACTGTTGTACCTTTAGAAGAATTTGTTATTATCTTATCGGCCTTCATAGGACACAAGTCTCATTCCTGTGGCGCGTGGGACAAACTGTTGTCGCCCTTTGTTGTAGATTTTTTGGTTGATAGTTAGTACTAACCAAAAACGCAATTTGCGTGGCCTATGTAATTCAACCAACCCTGAAATCCTCTGGGCAATCTGTGTTTGATATCAAAGGTTTGGTCAAAAGGGAACCTGGCGCAATCCAATGACAAAAGGCAGAAATTTCCTGCTCAGAATCTATCGAGCTACTCTTCCAAGCCCATGGCAGAAGCGTTGAGCCAATTCTGGGAGAATCCATGTGTCAGCAGTGCAAACTCGGTGCTCGTCACGAAAAACCTCAAGAGACAAATAAAACCAAACAAATCTATTATATACATAAATAAAAATACAGATACACTACATGAAACACATCACGGGAAAACCAGCAAATCTTTCAACCTCTGCTAAAATACAGAGTTTACTTCACTTCGAGTGATCCCGGGTGACTTAGAAAAAAAAAGGGGACGTGTATTGACAGACCATCCTGGCAAACACTGCCTGACATGTGCATTGATACAAGTCTAGTATCTGTTCTTTTGACGCATCATCTATCCTAAGGCTGGAGTGTGTCCTGGAAGGTGTTCTGATTCCCTTGTTCCAACATGTTCTGACATTTGCCCTGCCGTGAAGTTTGACACCTGCTCTGACACATCTTGCGGCGCGTGTTTCTCACGTGTGTTCTGGCACCGAACTGGCATGCGTTCTCACACTTGTTGTGAAATATAATCCAACTTCGGTTCATTGCGACAGTTTGTTCTGCCATCAAACCCACTTGCTCCGACAGACTGCATGTTCTGATGTCCTTATCTAGCATATCTTCTGGCATCCCGGCTGACATTTCTATCTGTCGTTCAAACTGGCACATCTTCTGACATTCTATCTAGCATATCATCTGACATCCGTTCTGTTCTGGCACTCTATGTGGCATTCTAGCCTGCGTATCTTCTGACATCCATTCTGAAAGTGTATTTGGAATATCTTCTGGCATCCTTTCTGGCCCTTTTGTGAAATCCTTTCTGTGGTATCTTCTAGCATTCTATGTGGCATATCCTTTGGCATTCCAGCCAACTCGGAACTGGCACATCTTCTGATATCCTTTGGCACTCTATATCTGGCAGAACTTCTGGCATTCTACCCGCAAATTCTTCTGACATCCTTTCTGGCATTCTATCTGGCATGGCTTCTGACATCCTTTCTGGCGTTCTGTCTGGTGTGCCTTCTGGCCCTCCGGCATTCTACCTGCAATATCTTCTACATCTTTTCTGGCATTCTATGTCATAGTTTGTGACATTCTATCTTCTGGCATCCACTCTGGCATTCTATCTGGCATATACTGAGCTGGCGCTCTCTATAGTGCGCAGGTCCGTGCATGCCCAGACTGGTCTGCAGCTCTCCATTAGAGTGCGGGCCCGCGCTTGCCCGGACGCTCTCTCTATGGTATGCAGAGGATGGCAAAGAGGATGGTGGAGCAAAGGGGATGGAGGAAGGAGTACAATTTTTGTTAAAATCTTTAAAAAAAAAAACACTTACCTGGCAGGTGGGAAACAACCAACATCAAGCACTGGTCTTTTAACTTCTCCAGGCAGCCTCCATCTTAGCAAAGAACTCTCCTCCAGCATGATCTCCCACGAGGTTGCATCAAGCACTGTCGTGCATGTCCCATAGCCTGCAAAGTATTCTCGGAAACATACACTGCAAAAACGACCATCGCCAGCGGCGCACCGCAGACAAAAACGGCCTGCCAAATAGGAACTGACCACCGTAGTGATGCAATCCACCGCTTTATCCAGTAAAGGCTGCATTTCGGTGACTTGCACCGGCTTGGACTCTGGAGGCATCTGTGTGCAAAAGACTCCGATGAGTTGGCCATCCTGCTTGATGCCAGTGGATAAGAAGCTGGCTAAAGCACCATAGCTGGGCCTCGAGCAACGAACCGGACGAAACTGGTCAGCCGTATGAACGATAACCAACAAGGGCATGACTAGTAGCAAGAAACTACTAGTACCAAGGACTCTACTAGTAGCTCCTGGCCTTACTAGTAGTAGCAAGAAGCTACTAGTAACAAGCGCATGGAAACTAGAAGCAAGAACGCTACTAGTAGCTCCTGGCCTTACTAGTAGTAGCAAAAAGCTACTAGTATCAAGGGCATCGCTACTAGGAGCAAGGACGCTACTAGTAGCTTCTGGCCTTACTAGTAGTAGCAAGAAGCTACTAGTAACAAGGGCATGGCTACTAGGAGCAAGGACGCTACTAGTAGCTCCTGGCCTTACTAGTAGTAGCAAGACGCTACTGGTATCAAGGGCATCGCTACTAGGACCAAGGACGCTACTAGTAGCACCTGGCCTTACTAGTCAAAGCAAGAAGCTACTAGTAACAAGAGCATGGCTACTAGGAGCAAGGACGCTACTAGTAGCTCCTGGCCAAACTAGTACGAGCAAGAAGCTGCTAGTAACAATGGCATGGCTACTAGGAGCAAGGACGCTACTGTAGCAAGAGGCCACTAGCAATGGCTACTAGGAGCAAGGACGCTACTGGTAGCCCTTGGCCTTACTAGTAGTAGCAAGAAGCTACCAGTAACAAGGGCATGGCTACTAGGAGCAAGGACGCTACTACTAGCTCCTGGCCTTACTACTAGGAGCAAGAAGCTACTGGTAACTAGGGCATGGTTACTAGGAGCGAGGATGCTACTTGGCCATACTAGTAGTAGCAAGAAACTAGCAGAAAACAAGGACATGCTAGGAGCAAGGACGCTACTAGAAGCTCCTGGCCTTACTAGTAGTAGCAAGAAGCTACTAGTAACAAGGGCATGGCTACTAGGAGCAAGGACGCTACTTGTAGCGCCAGGCCTTACTAGTAGTAGCAAGAAGCTACTAGTAACATACTAGCAACAAGGGCATGGCTATTAGGAGCAAGGACGCTACTGGCTCCTGGCCTTACTAGTAGTAGCAAGAAGCAAGAAGCTACTAGTAACAAGGGCATGGCTACTAGGAGCAAGGATGCTACCAGTAGCTCCTGGCCTTACTAGTAGTAGCAAAAAGCCACTAGTCATACTAGGAGCAAGGACGCTACAAGCAGCAAGAAGCTACTAGTAGGGCAAGGATTATAGCTAGTAAAAAGGGCATCGCAGCAAGGACGCTACTAGTAGCTCCTGGCCTTACTACTAGAAGCATGACTCAGGGCATCGCTACTAGGAGCAAGGACGCTACTAGTAGATCCTGGCCATACTACTAGTAGCAAGAAGCTATTAGTAGCAAGGGCGTCGCTACTAGGAGCAAGGAAGCTACTAGGAGCTCCTGGCCTTACTTCTAGTAACTAGTAGCGCGCTACTAGTACTCCTGGCCTTACGGGAAGCTACCTGTAGCAAGGGCGTCGCTACTAGGAGCTCCTGGCCTTATAACTAGGAAAAAGAAGCTACTAGGAGCAAGGGCATCGCTACTAGGAGCAAGGATGCTACTAGTAGCTCCTTGCCTTACTACTAGGAACAAGAAACTACTAGCAACAAGGGCATTGCTACTAGGAGCAAGGACGCTACTAGTAGCTCCTGGCCTTACTACTAGGAACAAAAAGCTACTAGTAACAAGGGCATCGCTACTAG